GGGGATATAAATTCTCCATATTGAGAATTATTCTCCTTATTGTTCACAACATGGATTGTTTTTTCATTTTACTTAAGTTTACTAATTTGAACCTAGCTAATCATTTAGGATTTTGCATTTCCTTTATAGCTTAGATATTTGTTCTCTGTTTGCAGACACAGCAAATAATCTATTTGCCTTTTTGTGTTTTCCCAAGGCCTTAGAGACTATGTGAGTACATTTAAGAAATAGGGAACAATAATTAGCTAGAATGTTGGTATTTGGGACGGATTAGGCAAGTGATTATATCAGTAAACTGTTATGCTTCATTTAGTTTCATAAGGGGTTTGCAGAAATGATAAATTAGAAATAGCAGCAATGTGCTACATAAGTATGCATTGGTAAATAATGTGTGTACAGGGTACATGGTTTTTTGTAACTTCAATTTCCTCACCCAGGAAGTAGGGATATGCCATTTGCCTTTTCTTAACAGAGAAAAAAAAAAGTATAACATGTCTGTGAGTATCACGAGAAAGTACAGTTGCAAGAAAGTATGTGAACCCTTTGGAATGATATGGATTTCTGCACAAATTGGTCATAAAATGTGATCTGATCATCATCTAAGTCACAACAATAGACAATCACAGCCTGCTTAAACTAATAACACACAAAGAATGAAATGTTGCCATGTTTTTATTGAACACACCATGATCACATTTTATGACAAATTTGTGCAGCAATCCATATCATTCCAAAGGGTTCACATACTTTTTCTTGCAAATATATATTTATACTTTTTTTAATGACTTCCAGTTTGCTTTAAAGAACATTCCAAGCACCAGAACCAAAAGCTCAGGCTTTAAAATGAACAGGGATAAAACTTTATAACATTAAAATAATGAAAACAGAAGCAACAAAAAAAAAAATTATAATAATTTGAAAAAAAATCTCTCTCTATATATATATTTTATTTTTATTTTTTTTATTTAATTTGATATTTGATTATTTTTTTTATTTAATTATCCTTTCATCTAAAAATAATTTTATGTATTTTTGTAGCTTTTATGCATCTAGCCTTTAAAATAAAAAACAAACAAAATATATATAGGTTTGGTCATGTTAGCTTAAAGCAGATTAATGACTGAAAAAAGTCAAATGATTGAATGGATTAAGGTAAAATTCCATTGCAATGAATCTTCAACACCAATTTCCAAACTTTACAAGAACCTGTTATGTACAACCAGTGGAAATGCCTTAGGATGCAATGAGCCTTCATAAACAATGGGTCTAAGAATAGAGGTGACAAAACCAGCCAAGTTCATCAACTATTTGACCTAGCTAACTACTGTAGTCATAGAAACTGATTGAAATTAAATTAAAAGTGAAAACATGAGTGGTGATTAGAGATGTCGCGAACATCATCATTGAGTAAACTTTGACCCGGAACCTCACAGTCAGCAGACACATTCCAGCCAATCAGCAGCAGACCCTCCCTCCCAGGAAGTGTCTGCTGACAGTGAGGTTCCGGGTCAAAGTTTACTCAATGATGACGAATAGGGGGCGGGCCGGAAATCGTATATGTTCGCCCAACGCGAACACGCTATTGTTCGTCGTCGGACAGTTCGCGAACAGTTCGGCGAGCAGTTCGCGACATCTCTAGTGGTGATAAGAATCTTCTCTCAAATGAAGTTACATTTCCATATTCCATTAAACATAATACTGGACACAATCTTTGGTTTTATAGGGAACTCATGACAGAAAATCAATTAAAATGGAAGCCTTTATTTAACTCCTTTGAGGGTGTAATATCTTAGTAAAGTCAAGCTCTGTAATGTCAGACTTCATTTTGCTTCGAGTCATGCAAAATATAGCATTGCTAACCTGAATAAATCGATTTAGTCTAGCCCCCTTTGAGCAAATTAAAGGATGTTTACTTACTGGGATAGAATCCTATGGCCTGCAGATATAGGAGACCTATACAGATTCATAGTTAAGTATGCTTTGCCTTGTTTGAACATGGAAGTCAAACGTTTCAGCAAAGAGACACTGAGAGCTTTGACATGATCCTGGTGAAATATTTTACCAATAACACTCAATAATGTAGTGTTTTATGAATTTATTTTTAAATGCACTTCAACTTAGAATGTGATACATTAAATACCACCATCTCTGAAGTGATATCATGGAAATTCTATTCTTATAAAAGGGGGTAAAACTGATTTCTCCCCAGTTTATTATGAAACCTAAACTTATCAGAAGGTTAATCATCTGCCTCTGAAGGATACCTTATTCTCAGGATATCAAGATAGATGATCAAGGACAAATGCTTGTTCTCACAAAGGCCGTTTCATAACCTTAGTGAAGCATCAATGCACTTATGAAACTCAGAAAAGATGACTACAACAACATTTTCCTTGCCAAACATATTTCAGATAATCCTGATGATCATCTGCTGTGGGATTTGCTAAGTAAGCACTTACTATCAAGTGTATGTTCACGTTTAACAAAGGATGTATAGGCAATTAATGACTTCCATTTTGAAATGTGTACATTCATATCTCTTATAAGTCAATGTATTTATAAACTCTGTTCAGAATACCCTAATAGTTTGCAACACTGAAAGAACTTTCAAAATATCTGACCACACTTAGAAAACATGGCTGAGTGTTTCTTTTTTATGAAAGAAAACTGGTTGGGGAAAATATTACTGGTCCAGTGTAGACTTTTGCACTCCATGGCATGGATGTTTTTGAAAATAAAGGACCCAAATGCTTAACTTCCCAGAGGGCTTGAGCAGAGAACAAACCTTTGATTTGGACAGCCAGGCAGATGACTCTTTCTCTTCCAGCCGTTTCTAAAACCTTATTGAAAAAACAAAACATCACAAAACAATCTGATTCCATGACAAATGAAAATAAAATACAATCAATTCACTATTTTCTGACTGTCTGGGTACTCTTTATACTCACCGCACGTTGCCTACTCCTGTGATGTTGTACTGTATAATTGCAATGTGATGATCCCAACTAAATGCTACACTATATAAAATTATGTAATACCTCATTCCACTGATCTAATGCTGTTTCTGACTCTATAGTTTCTTACAGAAGTTTATTCCTTACACTTTATGTGAGCTTATTAGTTTTGACCTAGCTAAGTTATACATTGCTCGTGAAAGTCTTAATATCTCACCTTGCTTGTCATATGTTTATTTTGAATTACGATATGATTGATTCAGAATTGTCATCTGTTGCAGTGTACTGCAAGCTACTCCAACCTCAGTTATTCCTAACTGTACTCAATATTATTCTGCCTTTTGAAGAATATAGCATTTAGCCTGACTGCTGTAAGGCTCCATGATATGCTTTGTCATTGTTTTAATCTTTTTGCTTTTGTATGTTTTCTTTATTTTGATCTGTACTAGTGTGCTGTAAGTGGGTCTTGACCCTGACTAATTTGTTTGAAAAAAACAGTATTAACCAATTTTGTTTTTATTTTGAACAAAATTATTTTGTGTCTTTAAATAGGCAAGGAAGCTTTTGTGTTGACAACTAGACTTAGTGTTCTTTGGTTCTAACTGCTGTATAGTTATCGATGGACTGGTTGAATTAAGTCACCTCTTTAAGAGGCCCACTATTATGATCAAAGAACTCACTGTAAATCCAGCCAACACTGTTGTTATAGTTATTTCAGAGGATGTTTCTCCCAACGAAATGTTTTGCATCGACTACCTAAGATATTTTGAATGCTCTAGATCATTTTGCTAATTTTCTACAACCTCTGTGGTTTCATATCTGTCTTTATGTTTGATTACTCTAATGGAACTATTAAGGTAATTGCTGAAAGAACTATCCTAGGAATTATTATTGTTATCAATGTCTGTAGAGAATTCCAAGTGTGTAAAAAACTCCTAGGGACAACTTTGGCATATTTCCACGATTTCTTCAATTCAATGTCTTCACAGCCTGATGAGTAAGGTTCCTTTGAGTGGCCTATCCATGCTACCAGAGGTAGTTCAACTTTATCCTCGCTACCTCTTCTGGAGCAACTCTATGTAGAATGATGGAGATACTTCTAGTTTATTGATCCCAATACACTGCACAATATTTAAAAAATGCTATTGTCAGTGTGACTGCGACTCGAGTGAACAGCTCTGTCGGAAAATAGAGCAATAAGCCTGATTCCAAAGCATGATACCGGCCAAAAGGCAAATACTAGTGAGTCTACCAACTACCGAACATCATGGCAAGCAAGCCGACCCGCAAACAAAAGCAGAAAGGTACTAACCTCCAAATCTCGGCCTTGTCACCACCGAGTTATCTGAGCCAAGATGGCGATGGGGTGGAAAGATCACCAGCATAAGAATCAGAGACCAGCAAAATTACCTCTGTGTCTCACCAGCCCCAGATACAACAAAATGAGGGCAGTGTCAGGGTCTTACCTGAGATGGGAGTCTGTAGTGTAGATATTTTGCTCACCCTTACAAATAGACACAGTCCAAGGTGACCAGATAAGAAAACCACCTGTACTTTGAATCTGTGCACGGGGGCTGTGCAGGATAAAGCTCCAAGTCGTAGTACAGGCAAAAACACAAATAGCAGGATAGTCAAGGGATAACCGAGGTCAAAGGATGCCAGATGTCAGGATCAACGAAAAGTAGCCTAAGTCAAGGGATGCCAGAGGTCAGGATTAACAAAGTCAGAAGCCGGGGTCAATATGAAGTTGTAGATCAAGAGACTGGAACACAGGTATGAAACACACACACAACAGGATTAAAGACATGATAAAGTTCACAGGGCGAGGCTGTGTTTATATACCCTGCTGATGTCTGATCAGGGTCAGGTGAAGCACAGCAATAGTCTAGGTCCAGCCCCCAGTTCTGCAGACAAGCCAGGATGAACAGGACTGGAATAACTCAAAATAAACAGAACTGCTGTGGCTCAAAGGTAGATAGCTGTCTGGATGTCACGGTGAGAACAGTGACAGGCATCAAACTCCTACTAGCGGACCTCAAAACTACGATGAGGGCAGACTTCCAAAAATTAGCTGAAGACATAAAGTGGGATATCCAGGCAATAGGACGTCTAGAAGACAAGATGGAAGAAGCTGATGCATATACTGCCTTCCAGTCTCAGCTGCAACAGATGGAGATGAAAATGGTGGACCTTGACATCACACAACTCTTTCTTTCCTTGATGCCCGAGGACAGGGTCCACAGGATGGCAAGACCCAATGAAGGAGCGACTTATGTTTGCGGCCCGGGAGGAACAGCTGTATGCGGGTCAACCATAGCAGATGCCCCTGCAGCTGGACAGCACACTGCCTAGGTTAACGGGAAAGTTATCAAACAACTCATTAAAAAACTGCAAAATACTAAGTCACCAGGGCCAGATGGTCTATCCTCCATCTATTACAAAACATTTCAGGAGGTGCTTACCCCACACATGTCGTCCCTAAGCTTCACAAAAGGCACCTTGCAGCAAGTGATGCTACTCTCCCACATTGTCGAATAACCAAAAACAGGCAAGAAACCAACCATCTGTGCCAACTTTCACCCAATACCGCTACTAAACATAGATACTAAACTTTACGCAAAAGTTATAGCTAGCAGACTTAAAGATTTACTACCCACCCTGATTCACTACAACCAATCAGGCTTTATGCAAGGACAACAAAGATCAGACAACTCTAGACTTCTCTTGAATGTTATGGATCACCTTAATACCAATAACGAAGAAGGTTTACTACTGACTTTAGATGCAGAAAAAGCCTTTGATAGGCTCAATTGGCTATATAGGAAACTGGTTCTAGAAAAATGTGGCTTCCCATGGAGTTATCATTCAGGGACAACTACACAAATTATCATTATTCGCAGATGATGTGCTCAGCCGAAGATATCCATCCTCAACCTACTAACCATATTGGAATCTTTTGGTTCCATTTCCTACTACAAACTTAATACAGCTAAGATACAGGCTATGCCTATTAACACTCCACACAATATAGTTGAATCAATGAAAAAATCCTTCAGTTTCGATTGGAGTGCGGAATTGGTGACCTATCTGGGAGTGCGAGTTACCAAATCTAAACAGATACTGTTCAAACATAACCACCTGCCCTTGTTAGAAACTATATAGGAATTAGACTCCTGGAGGGATACTATGATCTTTTGGACAGGACGTAATAATGTTCTAAAAATTATGTTATTACCAAAACTGTTATATTTGTTCTGCGTGCTGCCCGTAGATATACCATCAACATCTTTGCCAACTTTATATGGGAAAACAAAAAGGCTCGAATAGCAAAACGTATACTTCACAGACCACTGAAGTTGGGAGGAATGCTGGTCCCTTACATAGCAAGCTACAGGAAAGCAGTACTATTAGCACATGCTATACATTTACATACCCTTAGAGGGAGTCTGCTTTGGGTATACATGGAAAGCTCTCAAAGACTCATACGTGGTCCCCAAACGCAAGAAAATACAGTCTCTTTTCCACATCACAAAAATGACTGTTCATATCTGGGATGAGATGCAGTCCCTACTCCAAGACCCTCGCAAATTTCACAGACAGGCTCCACTGAAAGCCTTGTCCGTGAAATCCCTGTGGCTCACGGTGGCCCCCATGGGAACAAGCTGGTCTTACCAGGATCTCCAACTTTCCAACACACTCATAATCTATCTCCAAGATTCATATTTCACTACCTACAAATGAAAAGCATGATACTTGACCAAGTAGACATTACGGGTGCGAGTGACCGAATGAATGAGGGAGATAAATACAGGCTGTTAACTACATGCTGGACCACTCCTCTTAAGCCAAAACTTCTATTCCTATGTTACAACTCCATACATGACCACTCAGAATCCCAACCATTGCCATTTATGTAGCAATGGGAGAAAGAAAGTGGGCATACTATGGGCCCAGACAAATGGATTACATTGGTGAATGCCTTGACAAGACTGACTACCTGCTTCTCTCACATTGAAGCTAAAAGGAAACGAATGTACCGATGGTACGTGACAGCAGACAGGCTCAATAAAATATACCCTGATACTTCAGACAGATGCTGGAGGTGTCAAACACTCAAAGGTTCGATGCTCCATATTTGGTGGGGATGCGAACTTATACGACCATTGTGACATGGTCATCAAGCTCCCTCTCCAGCATGAGGTGTCTGTGGTTAGATTTCTCTCACCAATGGTCAAAATGGTCAAAATGTGAGAGGGTACTGGTTTCGCAGGTGGTGCTGGTGTCAAGGGCCCTTATAGTACTTAATTGGAAATCAACTGCATGTCCTAGTGAAACACAATTGTTAGATAGAATAAGGCTAAACTATATGTATGAAATTACCTCAGCAGTGACATAGACTTAGAGAATGATTGTCTCAAAAATATGGGAACCATGGTGCCGTCTGCATGCTTTCAAGCCTCCTTAAATCTGTAAGATACTTAATTGAACAAAGGTCTTTTAAAAAAAAAAAAAATCACGGCTCAGGGAGAGGCCTAATACCCCGACACAGCTCCAGATCACCCTATGGAACTACTTAACTACTTACTATTTACCTACTTCCTTACTTTATTTCTAGTCTGTTGCTCTCTTCAGGCCTTTTTAACTAGAGAGAGTTAGCTTTGCAATGTCCTCAGTGGGTATAATTCCAGATGACAAGACTTACTACCCCACAAGTTGAAGTTTACGCCCCTGATTGACAGCCTGTGGAAATCACAGATCTTGACAGCTCAGGCATAATGTCCAAAAGCATTACGTTTGTATTTGTTTAATTCTTGTCAACTGGGAGTGATCCCTTATTTGGAGTGGCTGACCTGCACTGTTTATGCACTTTATCCCACACACTGTTCTTTTACCTTTTTGTCTATGCCTGGAGTGTGCCATTGGATTATTTTTGATTTGGATCAAATTGGCACAACTAAACTCTCCCTCTTTCTAAAATGTATTTTTTTTTCTTATACTGAACTCTAATTAGCACTGTTACCACTTCTTAACACAGCATTTCTCACCAACATTTGAATACACTATGCTGTGTCTTCAAGTTATCTCTTCCAGGTTCATCCTAGTATGGTTTTCTGTGTCACCTCTCAAAACTACTCGGAAGTGATAGAAGTACCCTATTATATACCCCTCCATTTTTTGCTGGCAGTTTTATCGGAGAGCCACCAATAATTATTTAGAGCAATATCAACTTCTTAAAGAATGCTATGAGCAACTGTAGAAATGATGCAAGAATTGGATATTTTCTAAATTAAATAATATTACTACAACCAGCATACATTTAGAGGCAATGGTTAATTTCTTTTGGAATTGATAGCTAAACTGGTGAAATAGTTTTCTAGAGCCCAATGCTTCTTAGACATGAAAATGAACATTACCATAGCACCATCTGTCTTGCATATAAAAAGTCTAGACTTTCATATATATTTAACATACCTTTAATCTCCTTATAATAGCAAGTAACAATGTTTTGGAAGGGACAGCAATTTCACATTTAAATCAGTAATTAGCATAGCTATATCTCATAACTTCAGTTTACTAATAAGTCTTCATCTGCAAAACACCATTTCTAATTTGCATGTCCAAATTATGTTTCTGTTACTCATCGTCAGGCTGAATGGCTAACAGAAGACTTTCTCGTATAATTAATGCAGTCTTCAATTGCGGGCAGAATTTACGTTTATATTTTATTTGCAGAGGAATTCACGTTTTAATTATTCCATTACGTGTAGTAGGAAAATATAATATAACAAAAAATGTACTTGCCTTTCTTCTGTGATTATGTCTAATGTAGCTCCAGTTACTCCTGATATGCAATTTACTGGAAAAAGACATGAGCTGAACAAGTTAAGAAGGTCAATGTCATGACATTGAAGTATTACATTGCATTATAGCATTTAAAGCTTAGTTATTCTTTATTATTGATATGCTTTTCAGACTTGTAAGATATTTTATTACCAAAATTGTAGAAAAAAACCTGCATTTCGTTCCTTTGTTCTGTTTCTCCCACAAGGGCAAAATAAAAACGTACGATCAAGCAAATGGTGTAGCCCCTGCTAATTAAGGTAATGATACTGTGTAAATGACAAGACAAGAAAAGTAGACACAAGTAAACAAAGAAAGGATGAATAATGAGGGTGGTGTGGAGGACATGAGCTTCTATTAGCATTACTGACGAAAAAAATAAATGTACGGTAAACGGTAAAAGTAAAGGGTACTTTATGCAAAGTCTAGAACCATATCTGTTTAAAAAAAATATATATACTATGTACAGGCACTCTTTTATCCGTGTAGGTGCAAAGTATCGAGGTGGCCAAAATACCTCAAAAATTACAAAATGCAAAAGATAATGATACTTCACTCAGAAAATTCAGAATAAAGTTAATTACAGAATTTAATAATCATTAATTAATTGAATGAAATTCATTAGTTGTGAAATACTACAAAGTTAGAAAAATTGAAAAAATTAATTATATATACACACACTTAAATTGATAATATATACAAGTTGATATGAACCAATATAGTTTGGTAGGAGCACTATATTGTGGATCTACTATTGTAACTCCATGTTAATTAAAGAGAGTCCCTGACCACATCAAGAAGTTAAGTACTGCGTTGTTGTGTCTGTAAATCCAAACAGATATATCATCCAGGAGAGTAGGGTGAACAAAAAGAAAAAAAGAAAAAAGTAAAAAATGAAAAAATAGAAAAATTAAGTATATACAGTCCCAGTGTGTACACACTATGATGAAATATGGATGGATCTCACCAATGGAGGAAAAGGGTCCAATAGTCCAGTTCTTTGTATCTCTTAATGTGTTGGTGAAATCCCTGTAGTTGATTATTCTTTCTTGGTTTTCAAATAAAGTATAAAGAGAGGTTCCCCACTTGTCCTGGAGGTATTTGAATACAACTTCTTGTCAGCTGGTCCTGGGTCTCATAAACGGGCTGCGCGCTCGGGATCTACATGTATCCCTTCAATGGCCCTGTCGGAGGAAACAGTTAGTGAAAGTCACATACTTTTATGCAGTTCGGCGTGCCCTCATTAATGTGCGGGTCGCACCTAGATGACGTCATGACGCTCGCGTCTTCGGGGCGCGTCTAAATGACGTCATGACGCACACGTCCGGTATCCATGCCCGACGTGTGCCATTTAAATATGTAAATATCAACATCCCTATGTAGTTGTATGTGTAGAAAGTTACTTGTGAAAGTCCATTGCATACAAAATTTGACAATGTACATTTACACATACAATCCTTTACCATAGTCTGCATGTATGGAAAAAAGCAAGTTCCCTAATACATATTTAC